TGCGCGTAGTGCTTGGTTTTGATGACTTGTAGATTTTTGCAATAAGTATGTGAGTTCTTTATGACTAATGTTGAGTCCATGGATTATACGCACTCTCACCCTTCCATCATTGCTAGCCTCTTCCGTACCATGCATTGCCCTTTCTCACCTTGAGATTTGGTGCAAACTTCACCGGTGCATCCAAACCTCGTGATACGATACGCTCTATCACACATAAGCCTCCTTATATCTTCTTCAAAACATCCACCATACCTACCTATTATGGCATTTTCATAGCTATTCCGAGATATATTTCCATGCAACTTTCCACTGTTTCATTTATTATGACACACATCATCATTGTCATATTGCTTTGCATGATCATGTAGTTGACATCGTATTTGTGGCAAAGCCACCATGCTAAAATCTTTCATACATGTCACTCTTGATTCATCACAATCCCGGTACACCGCCGGAGGCATTCACATAGAGTCATATTTTGTTCTAAGTATCGAGTTGTAATTCTTGAGTTGTAAGTAAATAAAAGTGTGATGAAAGGATGATGGAGACTATAATTCCCCCACAAGTCGGGATGAGACTCCAGAAGAAAAAAAGAGGCCATAAAAAAGAAGGCCCAAATAAAAAAAATGATAGAAAAAGAGAGAAGGGACAATGTTACTATCCTTTTTCCACACTTGTGCTTCAAAGTAGCACCATGATCTTCATGATAGAGAGTCTCTTATTTTGTCACTTTCATATACTAGTGGGGATTTTTCATTATAGAATTTGGCTTGTATATTCCAATGATGGGCTTCCTCAGATGCCCTAGCTCTTCGTGAGAAAGCAAGTTGGATGCACACCCACTTAGTTTCTTTGATGAGCTTTCATATATTTATAGCTCTAGTGCATCCGTTGCATGCAATCCCTACTCCTTGCATTGACATCAATCGGTGGGCATCTCCATAGCCCATTGATTAGCCACGTCAATGTGAGACTTTATCCCTTTTTGTCTTCTCACACAACCTCAATCATCATATTCTATACCACCCATAGTGCTATGTCCATGGCTCGCGCTCATATATTGCGTAAAAGTTGAAAGAGTTTGAAAAGGCTAAGTATGAAACAATTGCTTGGCTTGTCATCGGGGTTGTGTATGATGGGAGCATTTTCTGTGACGAAAATGAAGCATGGCCAAACTATATGACTTTGTAGGGATAAGTTTTCTTTGGCTATAGTATTTTGATAAGACATAATTGTTTGGTTAACATACTTGGAGTATTACTATTTTTATGTCAACAATAAACTTTTATCTTGAATCTTCCGGATCTGAACATTCATGCCACAATAGAGAAAAATACATTGAAGAAACATGGTAGAAAGCATTCCACATCAAAAATTCTGTTTTTATCATTTACCTACTCGAGGACGGGCAGGAATTAAGCTTAGGGATGCTGATACGTCTCCAACGTATCTATAATTTTTAATTGTTCCATGCTATTATATTATCTGTTTTGGATGTTAATGGGCTTTATTATACACTTTTATATTATTTTTGGGACTAACCTATTAACCCAAGGCCCAGTGCAAATTGTTGTTTTTTGTCTATTTCAGTGTTCCGCAGAAAAGGAATATCAAACGGAGTCCAAATGGAATGAAACCTTCAGGAGCGTGATTTTTGGAACAAACGTGATCCAGAGGACTTGGAGTGGACGTCAAGTAACCAATGAGGTGGCCATGAGGCAGGGGGGCGCACCTACCCCCTGGGCACGCCCTCCCCCCTCGTGGGACCCTCGTGGCTCAACCGACCTACTTCTTCCTCCTATATATGTTCACATACCCCGAAAACATGCAGGAGGACCACCAAACCCTATTTCCACCGCCGCAACCTTTTGTACCCAAGAGATCCCATCTAGGGGCCTTTTCCGGAGCTCCGCCGGAGGAGGCATTGATCACGCAGGGCCTCTACATCAACTCCATGGCCCCTCCGACGATGTGTGAGTAGTTTACTTCAGACCTTCGGGTCCATAGCTAGTACCTATATGGCTTCTTCTCTCTCCTTGGATCTCAATAAAAAGTTCTTTGCGATCTTCTTGTAGATCTATTCGATGTAACTCTTTTTGCGGTGTGTTTGTCGAGATCCGATGAATTGTGGGTTTATGATCAAGTCTATCTATGAACAATATTTGATTCTTCTCTGAAATCTTTTATGCATGATTGGTTATCTTTGCAAGTCTCTTCGAATTATCAGTTTGGTTTGGCCTACTAGCTTGATCTTTCTTGCAATAGGAGAAGTGCTTAGCTTTGGGTTCAATCTTGCGGTGCTCGATCCCAGTGACAGAAAGGGAAACGACACGTATTTTATTGTTGCCAACGAGGATAAAAAGATGGGGTTTATATCATATTGCTTGAGTTTATCCCTCTACATCATGTCATCTTACCTAAGGAGTTACTTTGTTCTTATGAACTTAATACTCTAGATGCATGCTGGATAGCGGTCGATGTGTGGAGTAATAGTAGTAGATGCAGGCAGGAGTCGGTCTACTTGTCACGGACATGATGCCTATATACATGATCATGCCTAGATATTCTCATAATTATTCACTTTTCTCTCAATTGCTCGACAGTAATTCGTTCACCCACCGTAATACTTATGCTATCTTGAGAGAAGCCACTAGTGAAACCTATGGCCCCCGAGTCTATTCTCCATCATATAAGTTTCCAATCTATTTTATTTTTCAATCTTTACTTTCAATCTATATCATAAAAATGCCAAAAATATTTATCTTATCATTATTATCTCTATCAGATCTCACTCTTGTAAGTGACCATGAAGGGATTGACAACCCCTTTATTGCATTGGTTGTGAGGTTCTTATTTGTTTGTGTAGGTACGAGGGACTCGCGTGTGGCCTCCTACTGAATTGATACCTTGGTTCTCAAAAACTGGTACTTACGCTACTTTGCTGCATCACCCATTCCTCTTCAAGGGAAAACCAACGCAGTGCTTAAGAGGTAGCACCTACCCACACCATCACCATCAGCATGGAGGCGGCCTCACCGCTCCGCCTCCCTCGCTCGCCCCCTTTCCCATCGCAGCTCCGGCCGCAGCCCCGCCCCAACCTACGCTAGCTTCTTCCACCACACCTCCATCGTTTTCGTGGCCGCACCTCCCCGGCCGTTCACAGCCGCCACGCTGGGTCGTTCAATGACCCACGACAAGCCGTTCAACGTCGCAGCTTGGGAGGTACCCGTCTCAGTTTTTCCCAAACCCCCCTGGACGTTCATGCTCTTTCTCTTCAGTATATTCCGTTCAACATCTGGTGGTTTCTTCAGTTCATCTTAATGTCCAATTTCACTTCATCTTGCAGGTAAGATCGTTCTCTGCCCTGCTTATATATTTTGCAGTAACTTTGTAAACAAAAGTGATAGCACTTATAGAACAAAATAGAAGTGAAGAAGACACCCTATGTTAATTTTTGACACTTTAAGTGTTCGTTCCATCTTTGGAGATGTATATGCCTGACCCCTTTTTTGTCAAATTTGGCATTTTTCAAGGTTTGAAGATCCAGCCCTGATCCAGTTTGTCAAAGGCTTCCTGGGGCTTCAGTTTTTTAAAGTTCACCTTTGGATGCATTTTCAGTTCATCTATAGGTCAAGAGCTTCCTTCAGTTCAAGGAATAAACAAAAAATGGCACACTACAATATTGCATTTTAGTGCAAGAACCCTAGACTCCCACGAAACATCTGGTAAAAAAGTACAAAAATTATCTACTGAACAAATTCTTTAATTGAAATGTTACAGTGTTAGAGTGTTACATTTTTGTAATTCAAAGACTGAAGAAAAACTGCTCAGTTCACCTCCATAGGCCTCTTGAGCTCCGCCATGCGTGGCTGCGCCTATTCCGCCATCCAGGTGACACTGGCCGACGGCCCCACTGCGTGCCACCGTATACTGCTGCTCCTTCCCGTCAGCCACCTCGCCTTCTGCGTGGATGAGTTCGCCAACGAGCGATGATTCCAGACCGAGCCGGCTAACACCAACCTGCTGGCGCACCACCCCCGCCTCATCCACCTCCCGCACCACGGCGCTCCGCTGCTGATTCTAGCCGTTCGCAAGCACAAGCGCCATGCCCGGTAGAGCCCCTCCTCTCTCTGGATCGAGTATCTCCACTATTCCACTTGCATTCATGTGAGCTTTGCACTGATGAAACTTGAATTGTTGAACTGTTCATGTTGACTTGGTAGCGGGTATTGTCAGTTCAATTCCCCCTACACGACAATAGTACAATGATAGAACAAAATCATGTATATCTTGCCTATGTAGCTCGTAAAAATGCGCCAGGTACAAAGGAAGAATACACTAGGACTACCATTTCACAATGTATGTTATTACCAATTCATAAATAAGCACATACAAAAGTTCATGAGTGTTATTGAAACAGTTCGGTTCATTGGTTTTATGTTATATGGCAAATCACTGCGATTTTTGCATCAGTTCGACAAAAAAACTAAATAACAGCTCAGACTCTAAGAGCTATTTATGTTTGAATATTTTTGAGAATGAGAGTTGTATGTTGTACTCTCTGCCTGTACAGTGCATTTTGCAGTTTTGTGTTAAAAAATGGGTTTATCTATTTTGCACCATCTTCACCAAGTTGAACTTGCAGCAGCCAGGGGTATACACGGTTGTTGGGAGCCGTCCAAGTCGAGCTCTGACCGCAGTCCAAGTGGGACTTCGACCACCATCTAATGTAAGCTATTCAGTATATCTAATTTCCAATCGTAAGTACGATTCCCTATATGTTTTCCATTTTCTTCGTAGAACACAAAACATGCACTATAGGATGAAAATGAGAAGATATACTAAATGAAAATGTGTGGTGGCACTCTCCATGTTTTCAATTTAGACCACTAGCTTCTTATACACACAAAAATCTGCAAGTATGTTTGCTACTGTGTGTTTCTAATTGAACCATGCAAATTTCATTTGATGGCATTCAGCAAAATTGCTACTATGTGTTACTAATTGAATCGACGCCCCGAGAATCCCCGCTGAGCTCGTCCGCATCCCCGGCCCTCTTCGGGGGCACTCAGGTCCACATCGCAGCGCCGCCGTGTTCTCTTTACTGCCATCCAGGTCCGACGAGCCGCCGCATGCAGGACCCCCTGCGTGCTAGCCTCGGTGCTGGCCCTACGCGACGGCACGACATCATTCACTACCGCCACCATGGGCCATTCAATGACACAACGTCGAGTCATGCGATGCCGCAGCTTAGGAGTTTGCCTCCTTTCCCAACCTCCACTATGCTGGTCTCTCCTGTTCTCCTCTCTTCACTAACCTCTCTCTTTTCTTTCGCTTGAATTCTTGCTAGTGTTGGCTGTAGCTTGAATTCCACCAAGGGTGCTGGCAGCCGTCCAAGTGGAGCGTTGACACCAGTACAAGTAGAATCGTGGGTCGCGACCACCATCTTCACCAAGCACTGCACATCCGTCCAAGTCGAGCACACACAGGGAAAACACACCAGCCCCTTTGCTTTGCACATTGCTTGGTTATGTATGACTGCTGATGGATGCAGCAAGCATTTATATTAGTTTGATCTTGTGCAAGACTCAATTTTGTCTCAGTTTTCATGGATGCTAGCTGGCAATACGTCCAGCACTCGAGCGGCGATAGCGGCCACCACTAAGGGCATTTGTGTCCAACACTCAAGCTACATGCTTGGAGGCCACCACTAAGGGCATTTGCGTCTAGCACTCGAGCTACATGCTTGGCGGTTCCACACTGCCGCCATGGGCATGCACAAAGATATTAAGTAGATGTTTATTAGTTCAATTTTTATTGATTTAACTTGTTTAAGTAGTAGTACAACAATAAAGGTGTAGTTGTACTAAAGTTTTAGTTGCTATATGAGGAACCCAGAGGCCATTTATTTTGGTTTTCAGTTCAGCTTGTCTGTTCTTTCCAGTCCAGATGCTTTATTGCGCATAATCTTGAGGAAATCCCCAAAAATCATATGTCTCATGTGAATCTTGTTCAGTTCATCAGTTCGTCAGAAAAATATATCATCTACAAGAAGAATTGCAATCTGGTAATGTGAAGTATGTTGTAGTCTATACCTGTAGAGTGCATTTTTGTAGTGATGGTATTCATGGTCACTCTTTTGTGTTAGAAACAATGGATATATATTTATATTTTGTAGTGTTAGTACTTGAGAACAAAAGGTTCAATTTTCAAACTTTAAAATAGTTCATCGCAAGCTTTTGGTGTAGCAAGACGCGCATCAATGTGTGTGTGCACTTGATGCAACTCTATTGTAGTATATGAAGTTCATGCGATTTTCATGCATCAACAATCTTATAGAGAGCACCATTCATTTATGAATTTTGTATTTAAGAAATATCACCCTTTCTATATTTTGAACACTAGCTAGTGCTTGTTATAGTCAAAAAGTTGTGCATGTATCTAGTTATGGTGATAGTGATACTAACCAGACCAAGCTACTTCAATTGTTTTACCAAATTCTAGAAATTCTCCATATACGGCAAGAGCCAACCGGACATCTTTGTCTAGCCTGACTTGGGACGGCTTCTTTGCAACTGCAGGTTAGAAAGTTCAACATGTGATTGGAATTCAGTGCGAAAAACTGTAGGTTAGAAGTTCATCTTCTGTTCTGCCCCCAGAAAGAAGTTTGTCTAGTAAAGGTTGAAGCTAATGGGCTAGGAAGCTTCATAAGAAATTGACTTGCCTGTTCATTGAAAAAAATTGGTTTGCCTGTTCCGTGAAAATGTCTTGCTAAAGAAATATCTCTTATGCACTTATTTATTTTCCTGAATATTTGGTTTGATTGTCAGGTGGGAGATGGCGGTCGCCGACGTCACTAAATCCCTCTACAAACTAGTGGTTGGCTGCTCCCAGCGGTAAATGTGGTCGGATTCAGCAGCTAGCTCTTCCTCGAGTAACCATTTGGAGAACTTTATTGTCTTCTCGTGGTGGTGATTGATTTTAGGATCAGTAAATTTGACGTTGGTATCTAGTATGGAACCTGCAAGTTCAATATTGGTATTAGATTCAGTACTTGTTGTACAAATGTCCCAATGTTCACATTTATTTGGGTAAAAGTTTATTTTAGTTCAGCTACAGAAACCATGTAGGTTCAGTGATGATGATACCATAAGTTCAGATAAGAAAATTTATGTATATGATGAGATGATTGCTACTTCCTCAAAGAAGGTATAGTACATGACAACTTGATGTGCATACAAGAATAAAAAATGTTTGAATAAAAAATATTGATAAGTACGAATTAAAAACAACGATGAGTTTGAAAAATAAAAGATGGTTAGCTTTTGGTATTCTGTGACATTGACGTCCAAGTTCTGCAACTGATCCGTCCAGATGGGACAATGAGGTCAATCCAGCAGGCGCTCTCAAGTGACATGTCAGTGCGCCGCTGACTCGTCCCATGCCTCTCCGCCACACGTCATGTCGTGCCAGCTTGCCATCAACCACCATTGTGGCTCAACCATGTAGTGCTTCCACGATCACCACACATAGCTTCCTTATATCGTTGCCACTCGCCCTGCTCTCCTGCATATTAGCATTGTATAAACACAGCAAGTTCACAATTAAAAAAGTTATAAGTTCAACATGACGTCCTAGATAAGTTTGAGAAAAAACTCAAACAAAATGAAACCCAATGAAAAATCAAATGGTAAAAGTTCAAGTCGCGAAACAAGAGAAGTCCAAAACATCTTGCAAGAAAATTGAGTAAAAAAGCAAACACACAATTTTTTCCTTTAAAAAAATATCATTCAGTTCAATGATATAAACCATGCAAGTTCGGGGACTATGATACCCAAAAAATAGAGTGAAGTCTAGTATGTGAAAACATGCTCAGTACAAACCCATACGAACATCAGTGCAAGTACTCTTTTCTTGGAACCATTCAAAATACTCTGAAAAATACCTCAGTATAAACACACACATAGATCAGTACGAGTACTCTGTTTTTCGGATAGAAAAACAACACGATGAGTCTCACCGTATTCAAAATTACTTTAAAAAAATGGGAGCAAGTACAAAATCATAAAGACATCCGTTCAAAGTACTCTTTTTTCGGAACCATTCAAAACTACTCTGTGAAAAATACCTCAGTACAAACATAGACATAGATCAGTACGAGTACTCTGTTTTTGAGAGAGGAAAAAACAACACGATGAGTTTCACCTTATTCAAAATTACTCTTAAACGGCTGTGAAGTAGAGAAAACGTTCAACATGACTAAGTTTCGGATTTTCGATAGCTATCCAACGGTATATTATTTGCCCCATCTCGACAAACTTTAGAAAAATCACGTTTGAAATCAAATTTGACCATTTTTCAATTTGAGTTTAAACCGTAAGGAATTAGGAAAAACTTTCAATATGAAAAAGTTGTGCATTTTCCATAGCTTTCCAACTCCGTATCATTTGCGTCAATCTGACAAAATGTTTGCAAAAAAACGTGAAAGTATGTTTCGCCCAGAATTTGACCTTTTTCAAATTACTTTTAAATTGCATATAATTTGAAAAAACTGTAGATACATGGAAGATGCGTATTTTTACCAGCTTTCCAAAGCCATCTTATTTGCTCAATTTCGACAAACCGTTTGAAAATTGAGTCCAAAATATGATTCGCATTTTCGGTTTTGATTTTTTTTTCAAAATTGCTCTTAAACCATGATTATTTTGCAAAAAATCCCTACATATTTGTAATGTAGATTTCAAGAGCTTTCCAACAATATATTACATGCCCCATTCCGACGAAAAGACGATCAGTTCGACAAGATGAAAATCAACAATACAACCGCCTGAAACCATCAGTTCAAGTAGGGTAACAGAATAATATTCTGTTATGCGAAACAGAATAGCCCAGATGTATTGAGGTATTTTTGCATGCGGATACCCGTGGTGATAATGGGGTATTCTATTGAGTCATTGATGTATGTTTTGGTAATCAACTGGCGGATTCCTGTGGTGACATTGGGGTAATCTAGGCATAGAGGTTAGTACATGTTTTCGTCCTACTTTATCTGATAGAAACATTGGAGTGATTATTTGTCGCACGTGAGGGATTGTAATATGATTCAATTATGCTACCACTGTTGAGAGATTGCACTAGTGAAAGTATGAACCCTATGCCTTGTTTCCAAGCATTGTAATACCGTTTGTGCTCACTTTTGTTACATGCTACTTGCTGTTTTTTTTATTATTTCAAATTACAAAAACCTATATCTAATATCCATACTACACTTGTATCACCATCTCTTCGTTGAACTAGTGCACCTGTACAACTTACCATTGTATTGGGTGTGTTGGGGACACAAGACATTGCTTGTATTTGATTGCAGAGTTGTTTGAGAGAGACCATCTTCATCCTGCACCTCCTACAGATTGATAAACCTTAGGTCATCCTGATACGTCTCCAATGTATCTATAATTTTTGAAATTTCCATGCTATTATAGTATCAATCTTGGATGTTTTATATAACTTTTTGTGCTATTTTGTATCATTTTCTGGGACCTATTAACCCAGTCCCAAGTTCCAATTGCTATTTTCTACTTGTTTTTGGTTTTTTGGAAATTCAGTACCAAACGAAGTCCAAACACTACAAATTTTTTTGATGATTTTTTTCTGGACAAGAGAGACCCTAGAAGCTTCGGGAGGAGACCAGACGAGAAGCGAGGAGATGGCTAGGTAACATGGCGCACCCTAGTGCCTTGTAGGCCTCACGTGGCTCTGTCTCACCTAAATCCACATCTATTAATTATATAAAAGGGGGAAAGCAATAGAGAACCACACCAAACACTTTTTTCACCACTTCAAGTTTCTGTTCTTCTGAGATCCCATCTGGAGGCCTTTTCCGGTACTCTGTCGGAGGAGGAATCTATCACAGAGGGCTTCTACGTCATCTTGCTGCCTTCGGATGATGCGTGAGTAGTTCACCACACACCTACGGGTCCGTAGCTAGTAGCTAGATGTCTTATTCTCTCTCTTTGATCTTCAATACGATGTTTTGATCGATGTTCTTGGAGTTCTATTCGATGTAATCTTCTTTTGCCGTGTGTTTGTGATACGGGGCTAGACCCGGTGTTGGCCGATCTTTCACGATTGGAGTGGATTCCCTCGAAGAACACGATGAACATGAGAAAGAACGGAGAGAAATCAAAAGGGGAAACACTCAAGAACAAGTCCAATCACATCCACTAGAAAATCAAACACACAAGATCCACAAGGTACATGAACAACAAAGGGAAAATACGTGGTAAAGTTCATCCCAAATCCAAAGGAGACAGGGGCTTGAATCCTAGAAGGATCTTCTCCGTGAGGAGGTCTTGAATCCATCGGGATCTTCTCCTAGATGGAGGTCTTGGCTTCCAATGGAGTGTATCTCTCTCTCTCTCTCTCTCTCTCTCTCTCTCAAGAGGAGATGGGGTAAGGAGCAAAGCTCACATATAAATGAGCTATCATATTTGCTAACCCTAGAAAGGAGATGAAGGTGGT